AAATGAAAACAAATGTCTACATAAAAATCTGTACATGAATGTTTACAGGAGCACTATTTATAATAGCTAAAAAGTGGAAGAAACTCAAATGGCTATCAACAGATGAAGGAATTTTTAAAATGTGGTATATCCATACAACAAAATATTATTTAAGCATAAAAAGGAATGAGGTACTGATACTCGCTATAGTGTGAACGACCCTTGAATCATTATGCCAAGTAAAAGAATCCAGCCACAAGAGACCACATGTCAGATGATTCTATTTATATAAAATGTCCAGGAAAAGCAAATCTATACAGACAAAAAGTAGATCAATGGTTGCTTAGGGATTGGGGCTGGGGCATGGGGGTGGGTGACAGCGAAAGGGTTTGTGGGAGGTTTTTTTGAGGTGATAGAAGTATTCTACAGTTGACTGTGCTGAGGGCTGCGCATCTCTGTCTACTAAAAGTCATGGAATGGTACTTCAAATGGTGAATTGTATGATATATGAATGACATCTCAATAAAGATTTTTTTTTAAAAAGGCATTTACAGAAGTTCAGTGCTTTTCAGATGGGGCTATGAACATATTCTCAATATTCTCAAGAATTATATGCAGTCAAGTGTAACAAACACTGCACTGGCCACCAGAACACGCTCAAGCTAAGCAGCGGAAGGAGATGTGTGCTCCGTGCTGAATACTGTGCGGCTCATGAAGTGCTGTGAGATGTCTTCAGGACCCTGCAATGCTACATCTTTGCCTTGATGGCCATGGGTGCATCTCTTCCCTCTGGGTCAGAAGCCATCAGAAGGGAGATTCTGAAAAGGACCTGGCTATGGAGCTATATAGTAGGCTGCTTCCTGAATGGGGTGAGGGAAAGGAAAACTAACGTGTACTGAGCATCTACTATCTATCATCTAAGATCTAAAGCCAGTGAGCAGTAAGGCTGTCATTACATTCCTTTTGCCGGAAAGTTCTTTTTGTGTCCCACATGTCAGGTGGTTTGGTATATGTGAGAAAGCCACATGCAGTATCTGGCATGGTACCTGGAATAGCGGAAGTGCTCGATAAATATTTATTGAGTAAACATTTGAGCCAATGTTAGCTGTAAGGCTTTTGTTACACAGAAGATGCATTAAGATTGATATTATAAAGAGCTTACACATAGTAGATTTATGATAAACAATGAAAAAAGATTTAATGAAAACAGTACCCTGCTTATTAAACACTTTAAATCTAAATTAAATATGCCTACGTAGTTCTGGGTCTAAGGCAGAGAATGCAGATAATTCACTGATCAGCACTATAGTTGGAAAATACAAAGGCAGATGAAAGACAGTTCCCTTATTGCAAAGTATGGAAATGTGGAACAAGGGAACATGCACTGAACTGGTTTAAAAATTGCTGATGGTGGCAGGGCACAGTGGCTTAGGCCTGTAATCCCAGCACTTCGGGAGGCTGAGACAGGCGGATCACCTGAGGTCAGGAGTTTGAGACCAGCCTGACCAACATGGTGAAACCTGTCTCTACTGAAAATACAAAATTAGCTGAGCGTGGTGGCAGGCACCTGTAATCCCAGCTACTCAGGAGGCTGAGGCAGGACAATCACTTGAACCCAGGAGGCGGAGGTTGCGGTGAGCCGAGATTGCGCCACTGCACTCCAGCCTGGGCAACAAGAGCAAAACTCCATCTCAAAATAAAAATAAATAAATAAGCTGCTGATGCCTGTGGGTGAGATCAAAGGTAATAAAAGCTAGCCTCTGGGCTATGATCCAAATGAATAAATCAGAAGGGAAAACAAGCTTCAGAGGGCATCAAGCAATAACCTCTACCCAGGCAAAGGATGTGCCAGTTGCAGTCTGCCCAGGTGGACAACAGTCAAGATAAATCACCAAGCCCCAGATGTGGCTCAGCATAGTGGCTCCTGGGTGGCCGCGAGTGAACAGCACGTTCAGATGCACACATTGTGGTGGCTTCCAGAATTGGTGAAATGGAACTGTTTAAACCTGATTGAAACTGCATTTTCCTCCCTTTTCTATAGAGGAGTCTGATACATCATAGCTAAGTGGAAAAGTGATGGATGCATTGATGACTCATCATTCTGTGGCAGGAAGGAAAAGGACCTTCATAAGCAGCCAGCCCAGCATTTCCCCAAATGTTAAATGCATTCCACTGGTGGGACAGGGGACCACATGGGTGCCTTTGTTTCCTAGGGCTGTAGAAATTACAAGCCTGGTGGTTTAAAACAACAGAAATTTATTCTGCTGTAGTTCTGGAGTGTACCAGTCTGAAATCAAGGTGTTCATGGGGCCAGGCTCCCTTTCGGGACTCTAGGGGAGGATCCCTCCTTGTCTCTCTCTAGGCTCTGCTGCTGGCAGACAATCTTTGGAGTTCCTTGGCTGGAGACACAGCACCCCAATCTCTGCCTCCACTGTGGTGCTCTCCCTGCGTGTCGGGATCTGTGTCCAAATTTCCTTCTTCTGCTAAGGACACCAGTCATGGGATTAGAGCCCTAATTCAGTATGACTTCGCCTTAACTCGATTACATCTGCAAAGACTATATTTCCAAATAAGACCCATTTCCAGAAAAGTTTCCAGATACCTTAGAATTTGAACATAAACAATTCAACCTACAACAACCAGTAAACGTTATCTTTTTACTGTCATGTATTTCAATGTACACCCATGACATATACTTAGCACATCAAACAGTGATTTCACTGATACAGTATGATTGCTTAAGCTGACTAATGGCTAAAGTTAAAAGACATGAATGAATGTAAAGGAATATCTTGAGTAGACAGTTCTACACGTGTTACTCAGACACAGCAGAACTTGTGAAGGTGGTAAATCAATCTTTGACACGCATTGTGCTAGCCCCAACCTCTCTCTTCAGGCAGGGTGTTGTCTAGAGAAGAAACTATGGTAGATAGGTAGGTTTCTCTTATCTGAAACCTTCCCCAAAGAGATTTTGCAATCTCCTTTAGAGTGAGGCCATTGTGCTATGAATCTCATTGCCTAAAAGTTCCTCCTTACATCTGGCCTCAATCCCTCTTGCTTCAGTTAAAACACATGACTGCTGGACACATATACTTTACACTATTCAACCTGTTCGGTTATCCAGCATGCAGGCAGGTGAATTCTAGGCATGCAGAACTTCTAGGAGCTTAAGAATTTAATTGAACTGTGAGATATGTTTGTTACCTAAGTTCAATATTTAAAGTTGGTAAAAAGAAAGGAAAAAGTCTGTATTTGGAGAGGGAACCCCACTTTTCAAGCGCTTTTGTGGCCGACTGGTGAGCAAACACCAGATGGGGCCAGCAGACCTGCTGGAGGATCTAACTCCCGCACCCAGACTCCTGGAGCTGACAGGTGAAGGCACTCATGGTCTCTTCCTCCTGTGTCTGTACAAAATCCTTTCCATCTGAAAGAAGCTGTCTTGTCACCCTGACACCTCTCATAAACAAGAGGCTCCAACCCAGCCTATTTGGGCCATTTAATTGCTGTGGAGAATGACAGCTAAACAAAGCAAGGTAAATGAGTGCCTTTCTATGTACTTCTGTAACCCTCCGCACCCAGCCAAGAGATGAATGTTGCCATCTATGAATCATTAAATCTTTTCTTCCAGAAAAAAAAAAGAGAGTCAACTGCCTTTTGTACAATCACAAGAACATGCTTAAATAAAAAGGAAAATGCACACGTGGCCCCATCAGAGAAATCTGCCACATTTTCAAGGTTTGTTGTCCTGGGAGCTTTCAGGAGAAACTGATGGTCCTTTTTCACCATCGCTAAACCTGTTTGTGGACTATGGTTCCCTCCAGCCACTGTGTATAAAGCCTATTAGTGAGGCCAAAGAACACTCTAGAAGAGTGTAAGCCTACTCAAGCCTCAGGGATACCTGTTTGCATATGAATCTGAACTGTGCCTAAGCCTTCCGGTTTAGGGAACAAAGCTTCAGGGTTCTGAGTCCAGAGTGTGTGGATTCCTCCCTCGTGCCCTGCCCCTGGCTGAAGCACGGGATGGGGTTAGGGAATGCCCCTGCGTCCAAGGCTTCCAGGACACCCAGGTGCAACCCATTTCTGCTGCAGTCCTGGAGGGTCCAGTGTGAGCCCCTGGAATGTAGAGAACTCCCAAAGAGAGAAGAAGAAAGAGGAAGAGGCACAGGAGAAAGCCAGGAGCAGAGAGAAACAGAAAGTCCCAAAGCAGAGAGGGTGGCAGAGAACAGGAAACGGACTTTGTATAGAGAACCACAGATGCTCCTGACCAAGTGTCAGCTCTCTTCTCACTTAGGACACAGACTTAACTGCTCACAGCGCAGTGGGCTCTGAGTGCTGACTTTATTTTTAAAAATTAAACTGGCATTTAACTTGGATTCTCTAAATAACCAAATTAAGTCCTGAAACACAATACCTCAATGCGAGATTATTCTCACATAATACTATTCAGGCAACAAGAACCAAAAACTCTAGCCTTAGACACTGTTCTTTGTCATCTCTAAACAGTTCTGTCTGTCTTTCTGTCTGTCTCTCTCACCCTCCACTCCCCAAATCAGTCTTCCCAGTTGGGGGAGCAGCTGCAGAGTAAGTGCTTTCCATAATCAGCAGGGCCACCTTCCTCCAGGCTGGGAGCCCTGGCCTTGCTCAGGATGGATGGGCTGACCCCTTCGCAGGGCTGCCCCGTCCCGCCGGCCACACAACCCTGCCCAGGCTTTGGTCAGTGTCCTGTGGGCTCCGCGTGTGAATGGCTTGGCTCGGCTTGCTGACAGAGATGGCAGCACCAGAGAGCCCTAACCCTGAAACCCAGATCAGAAAAGGCAGGAATGCAGTTGGCAGATTTGTAGAGCTGTGGAGCAGCTACCCCCACCCCCTTTGCTTAGCCAGGTGCCATCACCTAGAGAGCACAGGAGAGGGAGACCTGTGAGGAGAGGGGCAGGAGGGAGGAGGCGCAGGAAGCAGGAGCAGGTGATCGTGCCAGCTGCACCTCTTCGACCCAGAGCCCGGATACAGGTGTTTGGTGCCTACCTTGGTGGTTGTGCCTCTGCCACCTGGCAGCCTCTCCTGCCCTCCTCTGGAAGACCACCGGTTCCCAGCACGTGCTTGGTGCTGTGGGAGGCAGAGGGGCCTTCTGCTGTGAATCTCTAAGGAACTTCCTGATGACCAAAACCTGAAGATTGCCTCGCCCACATGCAGCCTTGCAGTGAGGCTCCTGTGGAGGTTTGCAGATTTTCTCTTCAGACTCAGTCCCGCCCCTTGTTCTTGCAGATAAGGGAGTTTTCCCTCAGGGCCCTCTGTGGCCTCCTGGCCCAGCCTTTCTGGTTCAAAGGGCACAGGGCCACACTACCTATGAGGCTGAGCATTTCACTCGCTTCAATTAAATTTTCCATTAACTTGGTCTCTGGCCAGTATGGATTTTCTCTCTAAGGTTGTCTTTGCAGTTCAGATCACTCAGCCCTGAGAATCAACCTTATGACTCCCCTCTGGTCCATTTAAGTACATTTCTATTTTCTCTCCCTTAATGAGATGCACAGCAACCAACCATAATTTTAATGTCTGACACCTGAATTCTTTAGTCCTCTGGGATGTTTCTGGTTTGCCTGAGACTTCATTCTATGCCTAGGGGTTGATTTCCTCCTTTGGAAATTTTGACCAAAGGCATTTTTGACCCAAATCATCTGTTTGGGATAATGAATGCCCTTTGTGTGCTCTCAAGAGGAGAGCAGGTTCCCTTCCACCCTCCAAATAATCTTGCATCTTTGCCAAACCTCCATGCCCAGCTGATGAGGATTCTGAGAGCTGGGGGAGGCGAAGTGGGTGGGACTTCCTGTGGTCATGCTGCTTCCTCCACAGCCCCCACACTTTTTTGGTCTTTCATAGAACTTTGGGGGGAAATCAAAAGTGGTCCTTAATCAGGAAAATGCTGAAGTACCTGGTATAGAGGATACCTTGTAAGTTTCCTTTCTAAATGGACATCTTGACTTTGAGAGAGGTTCACAGCACTCCTAGCATTGCTCACGCTGGTGGAGCAGTTGCTGTGCTGTGACATGCTCTGCAAAGGGGCCCATCTGGCAACAAACCAACAACTCGTGGGAAACTGAGTCCTGCTGACAACCACGAGAAAAAGCTGGAAAAGTGGATCCTGCCCTCATTGAAGTTTGAGATGCAGCCCTGTGAGAAATTCAGAACCAGAAGCGAGTCTGGGCCTGGACCCCTGACACACAGAAGCTATAAGACTGTAAATACTGTTTTAAGCCCCTCCGCATTGGGGGTAATTTATTACACAGCAACAGATGACTAAAGTGGACAGAAAAGGGGAAGCTGTTTCATTCCTCTTGATTCTGCATATCCGGCTTGGAAGTTGTAATTATTCACTCAGCAGTAGCTAAGTAGCTAGGATATATCTGGTACAGAATTTCTGCCCAATTCTCTACCAGGGTGTTTATGTTTTTTTGCTTTTGTTTTTTTTTTTTTTTTTTTTTTTTTTAGCAAAGGGTTTGTTGCTTATGAATGAAACCCAGAAAGCACCTAGTCATAGGACCCTAGTCATAGGAGAGAGTTCATGAAGTTCATCTTAGAAGCCTACTTGCTTTCCTAAGCTGCTTCAGCTCCTCTTGGCATGGTTTGCCATTTTAACCCTAGTTCTCATGCATGACCAACAGATAAAGGTGAGGGTAACCTGCAGATGGCAGTACCTTAGGGTCTGCCATGGGGGCTCAGGGTTGCGGTCCAGGGGAGTAACCAAAAGCAGTCTCTAATACAACCACTGCAGGTCCGGGAGGTCCCGGATCCGGATGGCTGCATCCCATATACCCTGTCTCCTTGTTTCCACCAGTCCTCGTGCTTCCCGTGTCTGAAGTGGAAATCAGAGAACTTGGTTTCCAACCCCTTGGATCTGCTTAGATGCCTGGCCCACCCTCCAGACCTACTCTTCTGTCAGAGGCAGGAGCTCCTTTGGACAGGCTCACCAGAAACCCAGAACATCTTCTGCAGCGGACTTGGACACAGCTGTTTGAGAGAGGCTGGAAGACCGCCCCCCCCAACCCCATCATCTGGCCAGCTCTACTAGCTCATGGAGAATTGAGGAGGGGGGTGCCACATGAAGAACTATTCACCTCATGGGACACAGGAGATTTCCAGAAGATTTTGTTATTTGAGGAGAGGGTGTAGGGTAAAGGTAGGGGTGTCTTTCAGAGAATTCCTGGGGTCTGCCTTCTAGGAAGAAGGGGTCCATTTAGCCTCTTTTCTTCAGGCTCTTTTTCTCCGCCACACCCCCAAACTGTAGAAAGACTGCAAAGGGTTTACTGCTGGCATCATTCTGCTCCTCAAGTCTCAGGTGCTGGCATCGTTAATCCACAAAATCATTTGTGATTTAGACAAGAAGAGTGTTCACTTCTTTTTGTTTTATTTGAACACAATTACTTTCTACCAAAATTTTATCAAAGGGGTCAACATGACTCAATATTACGCTAGTTCATATTGAAGTTACCTTGGCCATTTCAAACAACTTAGTTGGAACATTCATTCATTGGTTAATAGTTATTGAGTAAATAACTTCCTCAGTATCTACAGGGCATGAAAGAGAACCTGAGCCTTACAATGCAAAGGGATCCAATCAATTGCTGGACATAGTAAAGAATCTATTTTAAATTCTATGAAATGCAGGCTTTTCTCTAGAGGCCCTTTCTTTAAAAAAGAGATTGTATTTTCCCTTTTAGTTCAATATTTTAAAATATGTACAGATATCATAATTTAATGAAAGATATCACTGAAAATATAATAAAGCTTTTCCTAAATGAATTTACATAGGCACATAGGGAGAATTAAGATGAGGAAGCTTACCCTGGAGAACACTCCCCTATTCCATGCTGTGAGGGTTACAGCTCGGCCTCTATGGCCCTAAGTGTCAGGAAAAATCTGAAGGCTTTTGTATTTTCTACAGAACTGTGGATACTCTTTAGTTTGTTGTTGTCATTGTTATTTTTGAGAAAGAATCTTGCTCTGTCGTCCAGGTTGGAGGGCAGTGGCACAATCTTGGCTCACTGCCACCTCCACTTCCTGGGTTCAAGTGATTCTCCTACCTCAGCCTCCTGATGGGATTATAGGCGCCCGCCACCGTGCCTGGCTAATTTTTGTACTTTAGTAGAGATGGGGTTTCACCATGTTGGCCAGGCTGGTCTTGAACTCTTGGCCTCAAGCAAGCTGCACACCTTGGCTTCCCAAAGTGTTAGGATTCCAGGCGTGAGCCACTGTGCCTGGTCTGGACACTCCTTTTCAACCTTTTCATCAAAACCTTCTGCAAGGATTCTTAAGACCAGCGCCTGCCACTAATAGTTTATTCTTCTTCCAAATGACCCCTTTCTAAAGCTCAGCTTGAGAATGAGACAGTTCATTTGCCCATGTGGCCCTTGACTGTGACAGAACAAACACAGCTCTGAAATGTTGCAGTCACGTGGCCTGCACTGGGACACGAGCAGGTGCAAAGGCATTTGCTGGAACGCACCCTCCTTCATTCCTTTTCTTTCTTTCTTTTTTTTGAGGTGGGGGCATTCCAGTTCTTTTTTGTTCTTCAAGTTTTTTAACTGTGGTAAAATACATACCACATAAAATCTTGGCTGGACACAGTGGCTCACTCCTGTAATCTCAGCACTTTGGGAGTCTGAGGCAGATGAATTGCTTGAGCTGAGGAGTTCGAGACCAGCCTGGCCAACATGGTGAAACTCCGTCTCTAATAAAAGTATAAAAATTAGCCAGGCATGGTGGCAGGCACCTGTAATTCCAGCTGCTTGGGAAGCTAAGGCAGGAGCATCGCTTGAACCCTGGAGGCAGAGGTTGCTGTGAGCTGAGATCACGCCATTGCACTCCAGCGTGAGCTACAGAGCAAGACCTTGTTTTAGAAAAAAAAAAAGATGTTAAATACATTCAAAATGTTGCATAATCATCACCAGCATCTATCTCCATAACTTGTCTTATAAAACTGACACACTGTATCCATTAATCAAGAACTCCCCCCTCATTTCTTTTCTTTTTCTACCATCATTCCATAGATAGTTAAAACACCAGATCAAAGTCTGCCACTATCTGGTGGAGTAGGCTATTCGTGTGGGTTTTGTAGGAATAAGGAAGTATCTGGGCAGTGGGAATGATAAACTCTGCCTTCCCCGTGGGTCATCCAGCCAGAGCACAAGGACATGGAGGAAACATCCCATGGGGGAAAGGCAGGAAACCCAGAAAGAGAGTGAATGGATCTTTCTGGAGTGTAGTTTCCTCCTTAATTTTGCTAACTGAGGGCCAGGTTTGTTCTGTTCTTTTGCATCTTTGCTGGAAGCAACACAGGTGCACCACAACCCTTTGTGAACGTCCATTGCGTGCAGTCAGCCTTCTGAGCTGAGAAACAGGGACCACGCCCCGCCCCCCATCCCCACCAGCCAGTGCTGGATAACAGGCCTTATGGGCAGCAGGACTTGGGAGGAAAAGCAAAGGGCGGGGGATGAGAAGACCTGCTCTCAGTTTCTTCCCCGCACACAAGAGTCTTGCTCTGTGCGTGGCTTTGAACAAGCGACCTAGGCCCTGAGCACCTTACACACAGGGAGCTTAGTACTAACTGGCAACTGACTAAAGGGATGGCTCCATGTAATGAAACTCATGCCTCTTGATTAACCCTGTTCCCTTTAAAAAATAAATTATCTCTCGCAAAGATACACATTGTCCATAGAGTTATTCTCTGCAATCTTATTATATTAGATAAATGCGTTGTTGAGCAAGGAAGCAGGTTTGACTTCTCTATGCTGAGTGTATAGGTTCAGCGTAATGGAACACTGTGAGTGACTGTTACTCCGAGGGAGTTCTGGTGTCTGCTCAGAGACCACCAGCCAAGGAAGGAAACAGTAAGCCTCAAGAACAAATGTCCGTTCTCATCTTCCACCCCCTGCCATCTGTATATCAAAGAAGCTACTCAGCAAAAGTAAACAATCTGTCCCCATTATGCTAAACCTTCAAAAGACAGGAAACCAGCTACTATATTAGATATTGTAAAAGAGTTCAACTCTCACATTTGTGGTTTCCAAAGATCTCCTACTCTTGGTGAGTGGAGAATTTTGTTCTGTCGTATTGCATAGAATTCAAGTCCGTAAGTATTTACTGTGTATTTGCTATGTTTCAGATTGTGCTGGGGACCCCATGGCCCTGCCCCCAGGTCTATCTAGCAGGAAGATGAGATCTGGACATGGAGTCCTGCAATATAAGGTGGAATCAAATGCCACTGGGGATGTGGAAATAAGGGTCCGGGGAGAACAGACGGGTATCTTCGTATCTTCTTGGGATTGGGGAATATTTAAAGGGCACCAGAGACCTTGCTTCAGGTGCTTGCCAACCACGGGGAGAGATCTATTTGTCATCATTCTTTCCTATCTTTCACCCTCTTCTCCATATGTGCAAGCTTTGTCTTTCTCCCTGGATTTATACAAGTGCCACCTCGATCCAACCACTCTCAAGCCCTTCTCTTCCTTTCCAGCCCACGAAACACCTCCACTGGACACTGGACCAGCTTCAGGGGCAACACTTGTAGGAGAGAAGAACCATCTTAGCACAGGCAGGCTTACTGTACTGAAAACTTGGAATAAGTTTCTCTGTGCAAGCAGGACTCTGCCAGCCCACCCGTACTCTACCACTCAGACTGTGGTCCCCGCCCTATCAGCTGCACCAATGTCAGTAGCACCAGTACCACCTGGGCACCTGTTCGAAAGGCAGACTGTGTTGTGGAATGAGAAACAATGCAAGTTTGTAATGGTGAGCAGTGGGAGGGAAGAGGAGGGTTAGGTAATGGGTACAATGTACATTATTTGGGTGATGGATGCCCTATAAGCCCTGCCTTTAGCACTGTGCTATCTACACATGTAACAAAATTACATTTGTACCCCATAAACTTATACAAAATTAAAAATTTAGTTTAATTTTTTTTTAAAGAAATGCAGGCTCTCAGACCCCACCCCAGCTTTACTGAACCAAAATCTGAATTTTAGCAACACACTCAGGTGTTTTTGCACATTAAAATTTGAGACACACTGGCTAAAGCATATTTGTACTTGGGTCTTTTTTTATTTAACATTCAAAGGCAAGATCACATTTTCCCCATGGTCATCTCATGACTTCAGACAGAGCCATCAATGTTATCAAATCCATCTTTCTGCCTCCATTCTCCTAAAGCACCCAGGG